GCTAGCCTGACCCTGGCTGAGATGCAGACCATGCTTCACCCTTGAGGACCTGGGACACCTGCAGCCCACCCATGCTGGGGCCCAGCAGAGCCGCTACCTGCCTCATGCTCTGTGTAGGGCTCTCGCCAGAGCAGCCGGTGCTTCAGCTCGTCCTTGGGTGCATACATGTAGCAGTTCAGCCCCCAGCGTTTCAGCCTGTGCAGCAAGGAGACGGGGTCACCCAGGGCTCCAGACGCGCTCTTTGCAAAGAGGCATCCGGGCAGGTGCCAGCTCGCAACAGCAAGAGCTCCTCGGCACACAGCGTCCTCTCCTTCCCCAGAGCCGCACGGTGTCCTGCAGCTTCCAGCCTCACACAGAGGCCCCCAGGCTGCGGAGCCGCGGCTCTTCCCCTGCACAGGGAGCTTGCCCCGCGTACTTTCGACAGCCACACAGAGACATTAATCTCACCCAGTGCTGAGCACAACGATTTGTGTTGTTTAGGGACCTCCAGAAAGATAGTGTATCTGGCCTCAAAAAGCACGAATTCCTTCCAGAATCTCCCCAGCAATCCAAGACTCACTGGAAATTATCAGGACAGGACAGACACCTCCCCAGACAGCTCTTTTGGCACTCCTGCGTGAAAGCCATCTGATATATTCATTTATTTTTATTTATCCGCCTTAGTAGACGATGTTTAACATTTTCCCACGAAGAACAGACTGGGAAGCACTTCATGTGCCACATGATACAAGTGCCTCCTCTTGTTTCTTTCCAGAGAAGAAAAACACCAATGAACATACCGCTCACATGTGCAAACATCTGAACCTACATCCCAGTCCAGTACCAGCCAAGGCCATCATTAGACCTCATTCCTAATATACTTTAAAACATCACATCTTGTTTTCCTTCCTGCACGTTTTCCCCAACTTTTCTATGCTACATTTTTCCATATCTGCATCTCTGGTCCCTGCACTATGTCCTTACTTGCCCCACACTGTCACCAGCGCACTCTCACAGCATGACCGGCACATTTCCCACGCACTGCACGGCTGCCAGCACCATCACCAGCACACGGCCCTGCCGTCGCTGGCCCACTGCCCAGCCATCACCAGTGCACTGCCCACACTGTCACCAGCACCCTGCCCAGTCATCGCCAGTGCACTGCCCACACTGTCACCAGTGCACTGCCCAGCCATCACCAGTGCACTGCCTACACTGTCACCAGCACGCTGCCAAGTCATCACCAGTGCACTGCCCACACTGTCACCGGTGCGCTGCCCACACTGTCACCGGCACACTGCCCCTGCTGTGACCAGCACACGCTCCACACCATCCCCAGCGTGCTGCCCGTGCCATCACCAGGGCAGCACCCCCACTGACCAGTGTGCTGCCCGTGCCAGATGCTCCACAGGAGGCCCCGCAGGCCCCAGTCCGTCAGTGGCAGGTCATCCCACTGATGCATGGGCGTCAGCTGCTAGGAGAGGGCTTTTTCTCTCCTGCATGGATCAACTCCCATCCCAAGGTGATTGTCACAGCCAGCCAGTGCCAGATCCTGCCCACACCCTTCTGCCACAGGGACACATGGTGACACACGCACATACATGGGGACTCACAGAGACACAAGGGCCACCTCCACACCAAGCGGGAATGGCAGCCTCAGGTTAAAGTGGCCACCTGTGCCCACGGTGGAGTGACGCAGGTTTGCCGTGCCGCCTGTTTCCACAACGCTAAGCCCAGCTCCAGCGAGGCCAGGCTGCCTGGAAGCACCCGCCTGGTGCCCTCGCTGGGAGCGCAGGGTGGCGGGGATGGCGGCCCCGGGCAGGGCGAGCTGGCCACTTGCTGCTGGTGGCAGCAGGCACGCAGCACGCTGTCCTGTGGCCAGCGCGCCCACAGGGGCTGGTGCCGTGTGGCGCTGCCCAGGCCCCCATGGGTCAGAGATGAGGCAATGGGCGCTCATCCTGCTGGGTCAGCACCCGAGGTGGGCTTCCAGCCCACTGAACACCCCACCTTCTCTCTCACGCTGATCTGACTTCCCATTTCCAGCCCCAGCCCCTCCGCCTGCTCCTGCACACGGGCTGCCCTAGCCGACCCGCGCCACGCTGCAGTCAGGGCAGAGCAGCTTTTCTGGTGCCTCCAGAGGCGGCATTTTCAGGCTCGCATAGCCCTCACGCTCCTCTCCAAGCCCTTCCCAGCTGCCATCGTTCCTCCCATGGTGCGGGCAGCAGAGTCCGACCCAGTCCCACGGGCAGCTCCCTGTGGGTCTGCACCCTCACTGGAGCACCGGTGCCAGCACTGCGGTGCCAGCTGTGCGGTGCCAGCTGTGCGGTGCCAGCACGCAGGGGCTGGTGCCCACCCAGCCCCTTCCGGGCCCCGTCCCCAGACCCCCTTCCCCTGGGGCCCAGGCCCCCCAGCCAAGCACATCTGGCTGCAGCTGGGCTGTGGCAGAGTCCCAGCACCACCTGCCGGCACAGGGCAGCACAGCCCGCGTCTGTCCGGGCGTCCTTGGGCTGCCCGTCCGTCCGTCCCGCAGCCGCCACGCCCGGGCCCACGGCGGGGGAGTCTCCCCGGGCCGGACCGGGGGTGCAAGAGTGCTGGGACGGGGGGGGCACTGTGGCATCGGCCCGGGGAGAAGCATAAGCCCCCTTCGCTGCCCTCGCCCCAGCATCCCAAAGGCAGGCCAGCCCCAGGAGCCTCCCTCCGGCACGTTTTCCCTCACCGCTCCTGCCTCCACAGCACTCTGCCTTCCACCTCCTCACGCTGCCGCAGGCTAGTGCCTTCAGAGAGGAAAATTCAGGGTACTTGCCATTGGAAGAGAAGTTTCCTCTGTTCCATAGACCATGGTCTCCCATAGAAACCTGTAAAAGGGAAAAAAAAAAAAAAGCCAAAATGCAGTTGCCAGTAACTGCCTTAAAACAGAGTCTCTCCCTGTACTATCCCTAAGTGGCTGCTCTTAACTCAGAGATCCACCAGTCGTTCACCTCCGTGTACTTCAAATGTCCATTATCCTGCTGTGATCTTGCTGGGCATTGGTATTCAAGCAAGTGGGTATAATGTCCGTGCTTCTGTCCTTCCCAGAAAGAGGCAGCTGGGAAGAATTGCACAAGGTAGCACAGTAAAAGCCAAGCCTAGAGGAGACGGCTGAGGGCTGGCTAGGCTGTAAGGCACTCTAGCATGATTTTGGGGTGCACCAAAGCACAGACCTATTGCACATACATCCTAGCGTTTTCTGCCTGGGGATTTTCTTCTTCACAGAGACCAGCTCTGTGTCTCTCTGCATCTCTCTGTGTCTGTGTAGGGTCAGGCTGTGTCACGCAGAGCATCACCACTCCTGTATGGGCTACAAAAGCTGCTCGCTCTGTCTTTAATCACTGCACCACTCAAACTGCACCAAAATTGCACTGACACAGCTCACCCCTACGCCCTGCAAACACATACCTGCATTGCAGCAGCACAGGGCTTTGAGGCAGCATCCCTGTCCCATGGCAAGCTGTTCAGATCAGGAACACACAACCAGCCTCAGGGATGCCCATGAGTGCCGGACCGTGACTCCACAGGACGTTTCACAGACACCTTGTCTGACCCCACTGGAAAACACCATCCCCATAAACTTGCAAAGGGAAAATCCAGAGAGGGAAAGGACACCAGGGAGCAGTTGTCTGCTAACGAAGACACTCATCAATGAGCGCCAAGGCTGGCCACAAGGACATCGCCCTTCCAGAGGTTCACATCAACAAAACCGAATGCAGGAAATACAGATCTGGAGTCAGCAAATTCCCAAGCGTTTCTTAACATTTCCACTTCTGCTGCGTGCAGGCTTTAGGCAGTTGTGGGGCACCAGTGTCTGACACAAGCGTGAGGCTGCAGCACCACAGCGGCTCAGTCCGCCCTGTGCTCTGCATGGCCGGGAACCAGTCTGCGACTGGACATAGTGAGCAGGGGCACTGCTGGACATGCAGCACCCATCCCCTGTGGGGACCGCTGTCAAGGCAGAGCCCTTCCTAGTGCTGCATGTAGGAAGACCTGGGAGGTGCAGAGTTGTCTGCAAAGCCAGTGAGAAAGAATATCCAGTGGAAAGCAAGCCAGTTCACTTGGGGACAATGGGAGAACAGGCAGGTAAATGGGTTTGGAGAGAGGCAGATTTGACAGCTTCTTGAAGAGGAGGGTAAGGGGAACCTGTAAGTGTTCCAGCACAGACCTGAAACGTAGCAGGAGAAGAATCTTCAGTGACTTCAAGTCCCTGCCAGATCTGGCAGCTGCAATGTGAAGTCTCACAGAAAATACGTTACGTCTTGAACAGCGATGGCAATTAGCCATCAAGGCAGCTTCCTAATTTGGGATGGGCTCTGCATCAGGGGCCGCTTTTAAATCAGTCAATGCACTTCCTAGCAGACAAGGCCGACAGGAGCAGATATTCAGGGAGGTGAATGCGTTCACTGAACTGGGCAGCACACAAGGGCAGATCGCAATGACTCTATGAAAAGGACCAGCTCTCAGCGTCTGGCATGAGGCCAGCACTGCCCAGAAAAGCACCCGCGTTTCCCCAAAGCACCTGGGTGCACCGGAGCCGGTCTGCCTGGGAGGAGACCCCGATGCCCCACTCCCTTTGGCAGGAGCCCGCCCTGCAGCCCTCAACACCAGCCTTGGGCAGCGGTGGGGTAGGTTGTGCCACAGCACGCACTGAACATTATCTTCTTTGCAGATAGATCTTCCACCTGCTTGAACATCTACACGGTTATTCCAACTACTTTGAAATAATATATATTCACCTTACTCGCCATCCCCCACCGCACACAGGGCCAAATTTGTGGCCACTCAAGGATCCCAGCAAACATTTCACCCAAAGAAGGTATTTCCATGATAAATAAGATTTTTCCACTTCCCAATCCATAGAACGCCTGCTCAGCTCACGGTGAGGTCCCCGGAGTCCCCGTACAGCACCTGCCTGCAAGCGCCTCGCTCGCACTTCGCTGTGAGCTGACGCTGCCTTGCAAGCATGACACAGCCCCTACCCACGCCCTGCCAGCAGCAGCTCTGTTGGAAATGCCACCCCAGTGTATTCTGCCCAGTAAAGTGGCTTAAATCGCACCAGCAAAATCTCTTTGTACCCGTGGCTGCATTTCTAAAGGAGTGATGTCGGTGCTCTGCTGTTTTGCAGACAGACGAGCACTGATGCGTGATGCTGTGCGTTTGTACCTCGGCTCTCCCGTGGCCCAGATCGCTGCATCAGTAACCCGTCAACACCATTACTTGCCAAACTCTGGGCCATCTGGGATGTCCCTCAGTAATTTCTTCACAACCGTTAGCAAAGTTCTGATGAACACATTGGGAAGCAAAGTCCCTAGGCCCCAACTGTTCCTCAGCCCCTCTCTGGTCCTGGGTGCAGGTCGCCCAGAGGCGTCAGTCCGTCCGCGCTCTCTGCTGCTGCTAGCAACGGCCGGGGTGTCAGGAGGGAGCAGGGGGCTCTGCGCAGGACACGTCACTCCTGGCCTGCCTTGCTCCTGCTACAGCTGCAGCCTGCGCGGCAGCCTGCCTGCCGCAGCACCCCCCGTTCCCTGCCAGGGCCTGTGCTGCCAGGGTGAGGGACGCCTTTCCTTCCTCATTCTCTAGGGACCTCCTCCTCCTCCTGGAGTGGCTCTGCTGGCAGCATGTGTCCTTCTCTTGCCCAGGTCAGCTTTCCTATATCAATGATTCTTGTCTGACTCATATTTCTTTTTACTATCAACTTCCCCATCCCTGCACTTTCTATTTATTTTGTGTTTATTTGCGTGGTGCTTTTGCTTCCTCCCGGGCAAGGCAGCGGGCAGTGGGTTTCAGCGGGGTACTGTGCTGCCAGGCAAAGTGGAGATGCTTCGCTGAGTGGGTGCCAGGCCTGGCCCAGCTCCAGAGGCGCCGTGCTGCAGAAACAGGAGTTGGGGGTGGGGGCCCAGAAGGACAGGGCTCAGCCATACAGAGCTGCCATGAGAGACCAAGGCAGCGTTGCGCTGCGGGCAGGGAGGCAGGAGGGCACGCACCGGGATGCTGCCCCCACGCCCAGGGCAGAGGAAAACCCTGCAGAGTGCTGGAGGCAGAGCAGCGGGTCCCCATGCCCCGCTGCGGGCGGCTGTGCTGGGGCGGCTGCGGGGTGCGGCAGTGCTCTGGGGAAGAGCTGGGGAGCCTCAGTGGGGGGGTGCTGGTCCCGTACCCCTGGGCAGAGACAGGGTGCTGTGCAGGGGCCCGGCTCCCTGCCTCCCCAAACCCGGGGGCGCGGACCGGCTCAGGTCCCGGCGGCCCTTCCCGGCCCCTGTTCGCTCCGGGCGGACCGGGCCAGCCCCCGCAACGCCCGGGCGGGGCACCGGCGCCAGCCGCGGCCCGGGGGGACCTACCTTCCACCACGCCGCAGAGGAAGCGCGGCCGCCCCGCCCTGCCCGCCCCGGAG